TGTTTCTTCCAGGAGTTGTGGGTGGAGGGACCTAGAACAAGTGTAAGACATTATTACATTCAAGGGTCAGGAAGATCCCACACTGAACCATTTAAACAAAGCTGGCACAAGTAATTATATACAACCCCACAATTTTTTTTCTTTGGTTGACATTAGCAGACACGATTGATTCCTGCCAGAGTTTTGTATCAATCCAATCGTGGGTTTTACATCCATCATATGCATATTTCCACAGTCTGAAAATACTGAAACACTGGAGTGCTGTCAGCGGCTGAAATATGTTTAATGACAAAAATAAAATAAGCTAAATGTAACTAATTTCAGTGATGCAAAAATATTACCTTTTTTGTTTTGGGAAACCTAAACGTCTTCGAGGATGAGGTTGGCGATGCAAGGCTGTTGTCACTGAGAGTTGATGGTGGTGCTGGAGTCAGCGGGGTGGAACACACGCTGGGCTCTGGCGATGAGGGATCTAACAACAATGTAGTTACTGATGATGTTGCACTGTTTGTTCTTCGTCTGTAATAACAGTATTGAGTATTACCCATTGGATTATAGTGAACAAGATAAATGACAATGCAAAATACCACAAATAAATATTGAAAGGCAAACCCATACACAAATTGTCTAATAGATCACACAATACCTACCCATCAATATCATAATGCAACATTGAGTATGATAATTATAAATATCTTGTGATAAATATATTAGTTAACAGGCCAATTTATGGTACCAAGAGTGATAGTGGCAGTCAGTCAGTCAGTCAGTCAGTCAGTCAGCAAGGTGGTGCGAAAAACTCGTCTTTTGCTTTGTTCGGGACTTGAGGGCGCAGTTTTGACCGATAGCGTGCTGTTTTATGGAGATTGTCTAAATAGTGATTTGCTTAATCTTGTGTACATATTCAATAACTATCCTTCATTTCTCAAGAATTTACAACGTACAAGATTCATGTATTCTAATGGATACATTATTTTAAAACATAGTGGAACTATAACCACCTTGCCCTTTAGGAACAAATGTAATCACTATACCTTGTGTTATATGTGATGAGCATTTTGGGTGTATGACAGGCAAGATGACTCGCGTTGCTAATAACCATGCAGTTGTTTGAAGCATACAGTTTGAAATAGATGCTAGCTCGTTTGGGAAGTTGAAGTCAATGGGAAGTAGGGGTAGGTGTGGGGCATTTCAACATATTTTTGTTCTTTCTAAGCTGCTGAAACTACATGGTTACATTTACTACATATCAAATTCTGGGACATATGCATAATAAACAAAACTATAGTGATGATGAACTTAAGTAACACAAATCGACTTGTTGTACTGACTAACAAATTGACTAATTATCGCAAGGTAACAGATTGACTTACTGTAGTAACAAATTACATGGGTAATGAATCAACTTCTTGTTACACAGTACCCAGTCAAAATACCTGTAACAACAAAATAACTACACAAAACACAAAGGGCAGCTTGAGCAGAGCAAAAGAAATGCATTGCAGCCACTTGAGAGCATGGCCTACCAATGTCCATACACATGTATGTCACCACATCTGGGTCTGCATTATTTCAAGTGCTATTACAAAGTGTATTCACTTTTTCTACAGCCAAGGTTATTCATCCACACTTCCGACCCATTTCCAAGTACATGCCCAAGTACATTCTCTCAAAGACTTGTCAACTGTACAGATATTATGTTGTGGCAGATGGTCAGAGATGCACTCTCCATTACAAATTATTATTATTATATAAATATATAATTAGGTCAACCAATTATGCTAAAATTCATATTCACATTTACAGGTTATTTGTGGGCTACATGAAGACCTCATAGGATAATGTAAAATACTAAAATAAACAAGCAGCCTGTCGGCTGAGATAGCTCCGCTGTTAGCAATGCACATTTCAAATAAAGAACAGACGATATCATAAGAAAATGAACAATATGCATAGTATCAAAGCAACAGAACTTGCTGTCTTCAACAAGAATTCAAAAATATCACTTTTCACCAAAAATAATCATCGAAATTAGATAATTGAAGATACCACCACGAAATTAACAAATCTGAAAGAGGTCCACATGTAGTACCTATATATGTAATATCAAAGCAATTGGACTTGCGGTTTTTAAACAAGTCGAAAATATCACTTTTTACCAAAAATGACAAAAATATTCAAAAAAATTAGAGAATTGAAGATATCATCATGAAATGAACAAATCTGAGAGTGGTCTACCCAAGGTACATATACACCAAGTATCAAAGCATTCAGGCTTGTAGTTTTCAAGAAGAAGTCTAAAAACTAAAACATTGACACGGACGACGGAGACGAACAATCACTCATATGATAAGCTCCGCCCAACAAAGTCGACAGCGGAGCTAAAAATAGGAAGAATCAGTTGCTTATACAAAAGGATTGAATACAAACAGTTAAATTACAAAAACAAAGGGAGAAAAAAGCCGGGTCCTGGGCTTGAACCCAGGTCTGTCAGTTGAGGCTGACCCAATGTCAAACCAATGTCGATTTTAAGCTACTTTTTTTACCAATATCTGAAAAATACAAGAGCTAGACACACAAACTTTGAACTTGGCCAAAGATTTATATTAAATCAGAATATATAGTAAAATGAAAACAGTTGAATAAATATTTTTTGACTTATTGTGCTAACAAGCCAGAGTATAACATAATCGACGACAGACGCCGCTGACAAAAACTTCCCTCTCCCATACCTTACCCTTCTCATTTACGATTCGGGCAAGGTAAAAACCACACATTACCCTTGTCTAGTATGATAATGGAATGATCATAAACTGAGCGCAGGTCAATTGAATGGCTCTGTCAAGACTAGAATGCACGAAAACCAAAGTGTTTTACAAGTTGCAAGTCATCTTGCTAACTGACTGGATAATTCTCAGAACAGGCGCAATAAAGTTGAAAATACACTAAAACATTCAATTGTCGCTGCTACAGAACAAATCTCCAGGCATATGGTTAGTGGATCAAAAAAATATACATCTCTTAACAACACTTAGCCACAACACACTGACTCCAAAATCAAGAATATATGTACATCTCTTTCAGCTGCACTCTGTATAAAATCATATCAAAGTACCTTTTAGCTGTGGATCTTCTCCTGCTAGTTCTGCCTTTTACTTGCTTTGGTTTTGGCACCGGTGGTACACTTGACTTCACATCCATGTCACTACTAACACTCTACACAAGGAATAGAATACATACATCATAATCAAGCAACAACAAAACGCTGATGTGGGCGAATGAATGAATGAACAGATACAAAAATAAAATCATTCACAAATAGAAGCTGAGAACTATATGCGCCTCATCAACAATATATACCCAGCTGTCTTTTCAACAATCAAGTCAAGACAAAAATAACTTGAAAGTGAGAAATATCAAAAGTCAAGACATATAGTAACATATGCAACAACTAAATCACTGACATCATGGTGTAAATTGATATAAATTATGACGCATGTAAGATAATCATTTCCACTTACTTGCTCCAAGTCTTTACTCTCTTCTTCCTTAATTTCACACACTACCTTCTCAGTTTCATTCTTAGCTGCCTTGGCTTGAATTCTCTCCAGAGCCTGCTGTCTCCTCTTCTCTGTCTTCTCCATCTTTTTAAAAGCTTCCATGATGGCCTTCATTTTTCGCTCCTCTCTGGTCATTTTCTTCTGTTCATGTTCATGCTCTGGCTCAGTTTCCACTTCAGGCTCTTGCTGCTCTTTAGTTGCTTCATTTTCCGGTTCCGGTATGATGGGCACCTCATTTTCCAGAGTCTCCGTAGGTTCTGGAACTGGTTCCTGGTTATTCTGGAAAGAAGAAACAATATTCAGCTAACAGAGAGAAAATAACAATCGTGAGAGCGAGAGTGAATACAGAAGATTGAAATACAAATTTTACTTTTATTTTAAATACTTGAAGTGAAAGTGAAAGTGCATCTCTATACCTGGTTATCATGGTTTCCCAGAGACACTCGAAGCGGTGAGATCTTCCTGCTTTTGCTTGATGCTGGTCCAGCAGCACGACTTGTATGTGAATGATCCCCTTCCTCTCGAAGTATATGATTGTTCTTATGGTGGTTCTTTTTCTTTTTTCCATCAAGAGCACCGTTCTCAAAACACTTACTGTTATGCTTGACCACTGGGCAGTTTTCAGTATGACAAACGCACTCTACAGGGTATGCACTACAAAAAAACACACAGCAAACTTCAAACTCAAAGCCTGGACACCAATGGATGAAAACACATGCCTAAGAAGTATCCAACACAAATAGGCAGTTTTCTGACATAAACGTACAACAACAAAAATCATTCTTTCTATGAAAGCAAATCTGTCTACCCAACTTCCCGTTTTCCAGAAATGGTTAGAATAGGTAAACAATTATAATTTGATAACCTTGAGAACAATATATCCTTTAAGCATAACAAACTTGCATTGACACAAAAAACCAACAGAAGATAATAGATGTAGCTCTAAAGTGACAGGAAGTATATATACATAACTAACTTAGGGGGCCTACTAGGTAATCTGATTACTACTCTCATCTAGTTGTGTTACTCACACAGGATAATTTTTGATAATATACGATCAAACTCATAAAAAATTTATTCACCACAAAAGAAAAGCAAAAATTACTTGTTACAGTCCCTGTTACAAATAAAGGAAATGTTCTTCATGCCTAAGATAAAGTAATACGGCCAAAAAAACAAGATGGCTGCAAGTCGGTTGTCTTATCTGAACATTAATGGAATTGTTATGTGTTGATACATACATGCATTTATGACACACGCTAAATATCAATGAAAGCAGTACAACAAGATAGATGCCAGTCGGCAAACCTTGATCTGATTATGAAACAAACTGACATGGACATGTATTCCAACATGTATGATGTATGTGCCAAATATGAATGAAAATGGTCCACTAGTCTTGGGAGGTATGACCAAAAAAGCCAATGGCCATGTTTGATCCCATTGTAAAACAAATTAAATTGTCATGGACATGTATCCTAAAATTTGAATGAAAATGACAAAGCATGTCCATGATACCAATTTTTCAACAACAAAAAATGTCTGCCTGTTGGCAGTATTGGATCAAATCACTAAATCACTGCATGTGCACATGTCTCACAGTAAGAACTATGTACATGGAAAGAATGAACAGATTTGGTCCATAGGGTTCTGAAATATGACTAAAGACAAATGGAGACTGAATAATAGCCCTCGTTTTGAATGAGAATTAAAATGCTAAAACTGTTGTAATACTGTTAACAGATAATTCTCATTAATTGCGGGCGTCTTGAAAAGTCATGACATTATGTACATGATTTCCCTCCAATTGACAATGGTAGTGAACAATTTTACAAAATCAAACATCTTCCTGAATCAGACACTTCTTGATATTTTGCTGAATTACAGAACATAAACATTAGGTTTATAACAACAAGTAGTTTTAATGCAAGCGAGAAAGGCGGGCCATGTACAAAAACGGGTCTGCAGAGCCTCTAGTCTTAAATCAAGACTGATGACTTCTTTTGTTTGAAATACTGAAATAGATTGTAGTGAGATGTAAAAATTACATATAAAGATACAAGCGCTTACCAATCTTTGAAATTAAAATCAAACCCAATGGATATTTCGCAACCTTTGCTAATATCTGTTATGGAACAAATGTACAGGTATATATTGCCATCTTTAACTGCATGCCGTACCTAAATAAAGACAAACATCAAACATTTATCTTTCAAGCACAATTGAAGGCAGGAAATGTAGTGTGAATTACTCTCAAATGTAAGCACAACCATATTTGCCTTATTAGTAATGCATGTGCTCAAGTAAATTACAGAGGTACTTCCATGGTCAAAATGAGTAATATTTTAATGGATTCAATTTTTAATGAATACAATGTTTGATTTTCTATGTACTTCTATTGCAGATGTGCTTCTAATCAAACAAATGAGGTAGTAGTACAAAAACACTGCGACACGTATTACCATCAACAACAAAGCTGAATGTACTGTATATAGAATAGATATCTGTCAATTACTCAAAGAATTTCAGTAATCATTTGATACAAACTATTTTATTATCCTTGATAAATATTTACTAGTATCTCTGAGATCTAACTAATGTTATTATTTATCTGGCTGAGAAAACAAAAGAATTCATGCATCCATAAACCAAAAGTGTTACAGCCGCATAAATTATGACTTGCAATCAGGAAGGTTATCAAGACAATACTGCAAGGTATGCAATCTATGCGTTGGTGGGTTGGATCACTATACTGCCTTCGAGCATACTTTCTGGCATTCTCGTAAAACTAATTACTCTAAGGTATTTTCGTCTCGTGGAAAAGATGTGAACACACATACGTTTCATATTGCTCTGTCTCAAGGTACAGAAATTTATCTTTAGGAAGCAAAAATTTGTTTCTTTTAAAACAAGTTTATTTTTGAACAAAGATGATTCCAGAATAGCAAGTGTAATCTTTGGCTGCAATCATTTTTTATGTGGCTAGAATTCCCCTTATTTTCATTTGAAACTACCAGTGGCAACAAATTTATGAAAATAATAAAAGTAAAGCAAATAGAGTGTTTATAATATGAAACTTTAAAGTACAGTGAAAATAATACAATTGTGTGAAGCGCCCTCTATCACCAGAATCAGCAAATATATCAATTAATAAAATAAATCCAAATACAGTGCATGAATGGAAGAAACAAACTAATAGCAAGATGTCTGGTTTTCTCACCTCTGCATTGGGACAACAGGATCTGCTAACATATTTTGCATCATTGCCATATGATCTAGCATCCAGACACATTTCAACATTGTCAAACTTATTGTAAAACAAGACAAATGGGTATGGCCTGAAAATGAAGCAAATTATTATTCGGAATTAACCATGCATGACATTACAAATTATAGGAAATGTGACATAAATGATGTAAAAGCTAGAGGCACCTAATGGTTCTTAAGATACCAGGACAAGATTTGAACTTGGCACAATGGGACTTGCTGTTTTCAACAAGAATTCAAAAATATAATTTTTAACCATAAATGATTGTGGTTTTTAACAAGAAAATATCACTTTTTACCAAAAATGACAAAAATATTCATCAAAATTAGAGAATTGAAGATATCATCATGAAATGAAGAAATTTGAGATTGGTCCATATGTAGTATCTATATATGTAATATCAAAGCAATTGGACTTGCGGTTTTTAACAAGAAGTCGAAAATATCACTTTTTACCAAAAATGACAAAAATATTCACCAAAGTTAGAGAATTGAAGATATTACAAAATGAACAAATCTGAGAGAGATACACATGTAGTACCTATATATGTAGTATCAAAGCAATTGGACTTGCGGTTTTTAACAAGAAGTCGAAAATATCACTTTTTACCAAAAATGACAAAAATATTCACCAAAATTATAGAATTGAAGATATCAACATGAAATGAACAAATCTGAGAGAGGTCTACCCAAGGTACATATACACCAAGTATCAAAGCATTCAGGCTTGTAGTTTTCAAGAAGAAGTCGAAAAAGTAAAACATTGACACGGACGACGGACACCGGATGGACGACGACGGCCAATCACTCATATGACAAGCTCCGCTCGACAAAGTCAACAGCGGAGCTAAAGATGACCGAAACAGGACTTTCAAACCAGCTGAAACATACGCGAATGAAACTTATGTCAAATATGAAATAAATATCACTAGTTGACTTACCTTTTAAAAAATGTATTCTGAGCATCAAACTGTTCTTTTAACATAACTTTGCTTATATATTCCATGAGTGGTTGGTCTGTTTTGATGTCCTCAGTGGCTTGAAGACCTGTCCTGCTTTTGTTGATCTGATTAAAGATGCTTGTCCTAACAGGCAACTGCTTGTTTGGTATGACTGCAGCATCATCAGATTTGTGTTTGTGAGAGGCTAAGATGTGCTGGATGTCTGCACAGTACTGGTTCACCATGGTTTCATCCCCATTTTTCATAAAATCACCACTGACAAAATTAAGAATACCGTAAAGGGGTTATTTCGAACAAGTTTATATAGGTGATAGCTATCATCTTTACAAATTCAATTAGACTAATGGACAATGACGATGGACAAAGGGCAGAATGATGACAGACAACCAGTAATATGATCTGTGATGACAGTAAACTAAAAACAAACACCTACCACATAACAGCTTCCATATCCCATGAGTCCATTGTTTCCTCACTCAATGGGACAAATTCGGTTCTGAGCTTTCGACTACCATCACGTTTTACCTGTAAAACGGGGGGGAAATCAAGTCACGTTCAGTTATTAGAATCTCCACAAGCTGATGTAATGAAAAAATTATGTTGCTACAATCATGACTGGTCATCAGGTAACATTAACTATTCAATACCTTCAATTTCTTTGTCATATCTTTGTTCTGCTTATCTTCATCATCCTCCTTCTCCCGCCTCTTCTTCTTTCTCTTAACCTTTTTACTTTTGAGCGTTGTCAACGTCAAACTTGTTGGAGAGTTTGACACTGCAGTATATCGTGTTGTTGTGACCTCGTCCCCACTATCTGTTGCACTGGTGTCTGGTTTTAAAAACAAACAACAGAAAAATGACACATGTCTTCATAAAGAAATGAGGAACAGAAACATGTTTCTATAATGAGATTCACTTCCTACAATCATGAGTTCAATTCATTTAATCTTTACTTTGACAACAATTTAAATAAATTAATAGTAATTAATAACTTAATAGTGATATTCAAATATGAATTAGCAACACAGTCAATACTGACCAACCTAGTTGCAAGTACCATACATGTTTATACAAATCAGTTAAAGGTATTGCAGTGTTACATACTGCTCACTAGTTAAATAGAAACTTGTTACGAAAACGTACATTTACCTAGATAGTTTTCACATATATTGCCAGGAGTTATTTAACTATCTTAGGGTGTCAGATTGGCTAAAATCATTATCGAAATAGCTCCGCTGTCTTCATTATCATGAAACAAGATTCAGTAAAGTGGCATTGTGGTTGACTGTTTCGGACTAGTTATCGAAAATAAAATTTTTTACCAAAAATGACAAAAATTTTCACTAAATTCCAATTTGCATTTTTTGACACAAGTTCAACAAATCTGACAGAGGACCACTCCACGTATCATTGCTGCAAAAATGAAAGCATTTGGACTTATGGTTTCGGACTAGTTGTCGAAAATAACATTTTTTTTAACCAAAAATGACAAAAATATACGCTAAAAATAAAAATTTGCATATTTTCACACAAATTTAACAAATCTGACAGAGGACACGTATCCTTACTGCAAATATGACAGCAACTGCACTTACAGTTTGGGACGACACTGGAAAGACCCCCATACCAACAGCTCCGCTGGGTCATTGTACTTCCATGTATGGAAAAGCCAGACATAGGCGAAAAAATAACCCAATATTGGCAAATATCTCATAAACACAGTACATCAAGCAGGTACTGTATATAGCACTATAGGGGTAAACCTACCCAAGGTAATATTGGTGATCAACTAAAACACTAGTATGTCATTAGGTATATTGAGATTATTTCATCACTACAGTACTAGCAAAAACTGAACAGGAATGAACCAGAAGAAGAAAAAGTTCTGATAGAGATAGAAATAGAAGATAAATAAAAATAAAGCAAACATTACCTATACCTATCATTTCTTCTTTCTTCTTTGACTGCAAGGCTACTGCTGTTAGTTTATCAATGTTCCTGGGTTCACACTTTTCACAGAAATAACTGTCTGGGATGTGGTTTCGATCTAGACCCATACACTCCACGTGTTGCCATACGCCACACTGATCACAACAAATCATATAGCCATCGTCGTGATCAAAATCACTGCACCAATCAAACAGAGCATAAAACAAAATGAATATTAATTGGCGTGATAAATTGTTGCTGTTGACAAAAGTGGAAACTGAAAATTCAACATCCATCACGCTTCTTCAAGGAATTCACGAAAATGAGACGTTTTCAACATTGCAAATGGGCAAAAATTCGCATCGTCTCCATTACGTTCTGAATAATTCAACCCAGAATTAACATTGACAAGAGAAGCAAAATCATGGTGCTCAACTGGCTGACAACAAAACAAGATGCATTTCTCTAAACTGTAGTATTTTGCACACTCCGCCAAACCCCAGATACGCTTTTGCATGCATTATAAATGCAGGCGCATTGAGTCTGACAAGCTATCACAAGCAGCATGACTCATAGTCACATGAGCCTTATCTTATTCTTTCCTCAATATGCACAGCTGATTATGAATATTTAATGCCACTAAAGCTATCTATTTTTTGTTTAGATCCCCCGGCAATAATTCCATGCTGCCTCATTATAAGCTTGCTGCTGACAGGTGGGTTGAAATAAACAGCAAGGAATAACTGAAGGACTGCCTTGAAATCAGAAGGTACATCACCAAGATTCATGAATGGCAATCATAGGATTTCTGAGACAGTACAGCTTAAAATCTTTGAAAGGATGTCATTAAATTATTTTTTAAACAGCCTTGGGTAGTATTTTTATTCACGGTCACAATAACACAAATGCCATACAGTAAAGGATCAAATACACAGTCTCACAGAAATAAAAACCATCTAATTTGGAGTAATTTCATTCATACATCTAATTGACACAGGGAAAATATTAGAGGTTTTCAGGATTACGACAACCTTTGAAATTTCTCTATAATTTATCAGGCCAGATAATAGATTTGCTGCTACCTAGATGCAATGGCTATGCAAAATGCAATGCAATTAGAAACTAAATAAGCTCATTCTTTTCTTATTGAAAGGATAGACGATTTTTTTGAAAATTCATCGAAAAGCATTTTGGGAATGGTGCACAATTGGGTGCCACCGATTTACAAGCATAATTCCCAAAATACGTATATGATTTCAAAAGACAAATCAAGCATGTCGCTTCACATGTCTGGAATGGCAACATTACGTAAAGCTCGCATTATGATATTGCCAGATTCACTAACAATCATATGTCGTTTAAGAAAATAATAGAGTATTCAAGTAAATACCAAGCTAAAGACGACTTACCAAATACATCGGGTTATGCTAGTGTCTTCGTTTTCATCAGCTGTTTCAGTGTTATTGCTTTGATTGCTATGGTTTGATAGTTCATCGAAGAAACCATTTACTTTGGGGTGTGGTGGTGACTGAGGAGGAGTGGGTGGCGGTGGTGCACCGTAGTTATGGTCCTGGAAGAGTGATAACATGAGACTTAGAAACCATTTGTGTTCTTATTCATTTTTGGAACATTTCAATCTTTGTTTGTTACCCTGTTGAAACACCAACATGTTTTTACAATGTCAACTGTTTGAGACGCCTTTTTCAGAAACAAATGACTGCCTTTCACTCTCGCCTAAGATTACATACAGTAAGCTGTCTACATAGGTAATTGTTCGAAACATGCTAATGCAGAAAAAAAATGCATGTTGTATTGACAAAAGACAATGTGAAGACAATATTCATGTATGGAACTCGAACGGCTTAGTATTATTATATAATACAGCGAGGATATCGACTGCTGTGAACATGTTGTAATTGCATTACAGTGTGTAAACTACGCCTCAACATTGACCAGTTAACAAATGTGAAAAACGGTAAATACTTTGTTTCATATTTAATTTACCTATCAAAAATTACCAGTTTTTAAAAAAATTTATGGCATTTTTTCACCTAAATCAGTTCCAAAAGACTGTATGGCATCGGTAATTCACTTTCGCATTGAGTTACCAAGAATGCCTTTGGAAATTCTCTGAGAAAAACATCAGTACAATACAGCACCTGATTGGTTTATAAAAGACTTGACCTCTCAGGTCAAAGGACATTTTTGTAAGTCGTGCAAGAAAACGTGGCGGAAAATACTTTTCATCAAGAGTTTGCATACAATCGAATACTAGTACATTCGTCAATGGAGATAATGATTTTGACTTTGACTGTGTTCCATCAGGCTCTAATATTTTAAAGCTCGTTTCTGTTTCTCTATTGTAAAAGTGCTGTTGAAATTATGACACCGCAACTAATTTCACGGTTTTACCCTCCCCCCCCCCCAGACGTAATATTTGCCTCAATCTGTCACATGGTGAACTAAAATTGTCATTTGCACACTTTTTCGAGGGAGGTGCTCCGGTAAGCGCCCCTAAAACACATGATTTTGGGGGGCTAAGCCAGTCCAGAACAATAATAAACAAATTATGAACAAAATATAATTTTCTTTTCATACCTCAATTTTGTAAACATGCATTTTTACAATTTGTTTTAATTTTCACCCAATATTCTTTTTGTTATAGTTTTAGTTCCCGTGTGTGCAAAGCATGATTAGTTATGGGGCCATGTCCATGCATATTAAGTAGCTAATTTGCACGGTAATCATCTAATTTCAGCCTATGTTAGCAAAATCTCAAAAGCTCCCGAACGGATTTTGATCGAATTTGCTATATATTGGTGCTGAACATCTGCTGGCAGATGATATTAACGTCTAATGCGATTGCTTTTTCACTGACTGTTTTCATTTTCATTTCCAAGATGTTTTTAGAAAACAACAATGATTGCACATTTTGTATTTACACAGGAGCTTTGCAGAGTTCAACTTTGATTCAATCAAATCCGTAAAATTCAATATATTTCATAAAATATTGAAAAACGAAACAGGCACATTGTTTATTACTTGTCAGAAGTGATGGAACTTGAGAAAGACAGTCAAATGAATAAGAAATTAAGTTTTCCGATCTGACTTGTTTAATGCTGCTTTTACACGTCAGAATTCTGTTTAAGCAGACCCTTTGGGAAACAGCTTCTTTAAATATTTAAGTGTTGAGATTTGTGATACCTTGAAGAAAACACCTGGTTACATGCAAACCAAGATAGTTTTCACTCATGTTTAGTTAAAATAATATCCATGTGTAATTCATACATGGGAGCACACTGACACAAAGCCAAAGTGTAGTTTAATTTTGACCCTTGGCATCACATAATTGTCAAAAAGCAAGGCTTGAGTTTTTAACTGGCTTTGCAATAAAAGTAATTAGTACCAACATGCCCACAATTATCAACCATCAAAAAAACAATATCGGAAAATCCTGCTGAGTTGTCAAATAAATTCACCATATGGTTATAGCAGATGTTTCCTAACCACCCTTTGACATGTGCTTGAGAGTCCATTTGAGGTGAGCACCCTACATATGGTACATATTACAAATGCTGCTTTGTCCGTTAACCATGCAAGTCGAGGTACCTTTGTTAGCAAACAGTAAATAATCAAACATGCAGGACTCAAGTAATATCAAAATAATAACAACTGACAGTGGCTACAAATTTTGACATAAATAAGCAATCTACGCTACAGGTCAGCAGGAAGATGAAACAAGCGACTGCATCACAACTGAAACAAAATATTAATTAGGTATCAGAAATTAGGAGTAGATTTAGTAATAATAACAACTTTCATCTCCACTCTCGCACCCGTGGCAAACATTAACTACAGCAATGAGGCAAATTTATACCTGATAAGGTAGTCCAAGATAATGGCTGTGATGATGATGATGGTGGTGGTGGTTATTATGATGAGCTGTGGTTGTAGCTGTTGTAGCTATCTGATGGCAACTATTGGCATCTCCTGTGGCAACTGGTTCTTCGTTGGATTCTGGGCTAGAGAACATCAAAATATATACAGTAAACAACAAACAAACTGTCACTGTCAGTGACAAATCAAACTATCACATCCTACAGCTACATGTATGTCCGTTGTTCGTCTGACAAACATACCCCAAGTACTACATTTGTATACATCAGAACACAATATTCTTACCAGTCAATTTTCAACATGACAGAATTTACAGCTGTATTTTACATATAATTATATATTGGGTATGATTTGGCAGGGCTTCAACTTCGCAGTTGAGAGAGCACCCATTTTGAAGGCCAAAAACGATAAAATTGCCTTGGCATCATAGAAATAGAATATCAAAGGACACCAAGGCAAAGTAGATGGGCATCAAGGCAACTGCCTTTGATGCCTCTGTGAGGTTTAAGCCCTGATTTGGTACAAGGTACCAGCATTGGTGCCCTTTTTCAAAACTGTCATATCTTAACAGCTCTTTCAACATCAGCACCTGCATTGCAGCCTTGATTGAGATAAAGTCTAATAAGAGTTGCTACCAATGTGTACTCAAAAGTGACTTGGATGAGAAGGGACTACATACAACATAAACTCGCACCTGATCATCAAGCACTGACACTCTTGCTACATTCACATGGCAGCTTTCTATCGGAGCCGAACTACTGCTCCTCCCGCCTATTAACAGGAGATTATCTCCAATGCGTTTACACAGTCGGGGTAGAACGAGAGCCGAGTTCAATTGTTGCAGATGCAATCTACATGGTTAGATATATAGTGTCAACATAAAAGTGTGAACTGTCTTGGCTGCAATGCGGATCTTGTTGTAAAGTCGTACTGTTGGCAAAAATTGAGTTGAAAGCTCTTTCCATTTTCAGTAACTTTGCCAATTTTGTTTTCATTGCAATACATCGCTGTTATGCACAACTGAACTAGAAAGTATGCAATGTCTGATGTTTACTCAGACAAAGTGGTAAAATAAGCTTCCTATAAATTAAAGTCTGGCGTGCATCTCAGACTTATCTTAATGGAAAACGTTTCACATTGAATATTGATTTTGTAATATAGTCACTATCTATCATCGAACGAAGAAATTTGTGTGCAATTTGCTGACTCCGATGACATACTCAATGACAATCAAATCCACAGAATTGTTTGATGAAACTTCTGATGTAGATATCTTGTGAATATCATAGATGCTACATTTATTATAGTATACAGATTACTTGACATGTCAAAGGCTTCCAACTAAATTTTGCCAACAACTTTAATACAATACCTGCTGACACAATTATATTCCAACATACCAGCTATCCGTAGACGCTTTCAGCACGTGATGTGTTACCCCAAGACAATTTTTAAGTTTGGCCTTGTAATATTCAAGCCCTGTACTTACTCAGACCCAGCAGCCATGACAATAAGTGATTCTTCTTTTCTGGCTGCAACATTGAATATGATACTCATCTCGCTTGCATTGGTAGCCAGATCCACATCGACGGAGGTGATGCATGTGGGCCGCAGGGTAACCGCCAGGCCCCAGGGCGGACACACATTGCAACAACTCTGTTAGCACTGCAACAGTAATGAGGAAAAAAACACATAAGGGAAAAAAAACAAAACAAATCGGTTTCATTACCTGATGCATGTTCACCAACTTAGAGGTTTGCAAAGATATTAGGCACAGGTTCTGAATGATAGGAAAAAAATATTGCACAGTAAATGACTGAGATGTTGGTCAGTGTTCCCTCCTTAGACAAATGCTGGAATTTCATCTCAAACTTTTGAATACATGAAAATGAAAGAAACTTTTTCTTACAGTGAGCACCTAATTTAAACACTTGGGCACCTCATTGAGAAAATTCATTCATATTGGACAATAAGACATAGAGGGAATGATAAAGGTATTACAAATTTCAGTACTCAACCATAAAAGTAATCATAATATCGCACTATAAAGAAGAAATTGTTTTATCAGTTTCTGGGAGACAGTATACCACCATATATATACATTGTATTCATAAATCCCAAGAAAAAATACCCCAAAAACTGAAAATGACTGAAAATGTATTTGTTGAACACATTTTGTAACACTAACAATGCACAAATTATGGTACATCACCTCGAAATACGATAAAAAAATGAATTTAAACCGAAAAGTTGAATTAAATATATCTCCAGAACTAGATGGCACATACTAATTCCAAAAATCAGTTTCAATTCTATTTTAGTGAAGTGATATTAGGAAATTGAAAAACATAGAATGATTAGCTGGAAGCACGCAATCCCACAAAAGAAACTTAAAATATACCACACACTGGTAGAAAATGCTACTCGCAAGTTTTTTACATGAGCACATAAAGTATTAACAATATTTTGTGTCAAAATCTGTCTACACTTATTCATTCTAGTATGTGATTTTTTTTTAAACAAGCAGCCTGTCGACTGAGATAGCTCCGCTGTTAGCAATGCACATTTCAATTAAAGAACTGAAGACATCATTAGAAAATGAACAATATGTATAGTATCAAAGCAATCGGACTTAGTTTTTAACAAGAAGTCGAAAATATCACTTTTTACCAAAAATGACAAAAATATTCACCAAAATTAGAGAATTGAAGATATCAACATGAAATGAACAAATCTGAGAGAGGTCTACCCAAGGTACATATACACGAAGTATCAAAGCATTCAGGCTTGTAGTTTTCAAGAAGTTGAAAAAGTAAAACATTGACATGGATGACGACGGACAATCACTCATATGATAAGCTCCGTTCGACAAAGTCGACAGCGGAACTAAAAACGGTAAAATAGAATATGCATAAAACGCTATTTTATAAGTTGTTTCTATAATAATATTCTCTTTTACAATAATGTTGTAAATTTGTCAATACTTTGAGACGTCAAAAAGTAAATTGTAAGACACGTATATATTTATTAATATTATATATGCACATTTTTCTCCATATGAGTAAATTTTTTTCAGATATTGACGTATATCCTTGCCATAGGAAACAATGGTAAAATGCCCACATGTTATTTTCACTGAAATTTATCAATTTTCTTTGAACTGAATACGGATACCACATATTTTTATTTCATTTTTCCAATGATACATCAAATATGGCAATACGTTCACTTTTGTGTAGTACTACACATATTTGTGTAATATCTTCGTAGGAATACTAAAATAATCAAGTGTTCCCTACTGTGTTGTCTTAGATTGAACAGAACAGCAAAAAAAACCAAACATAACAATCATACACATTCAGGAGGAAAAGTAGTGCAAGTGACATTACACACAACATGAAAAATAAAATCTGAATGAAACTTTAATGCTCAGTGCAGCTGTTGCCTGCCCTATTGCTTGGTTCTCGGCAAAAACTAGAATCTGTATCTATTCTATAGGTGGAAGAAGAGAAAAACTACCCAGAATACTCTGCAATCGACATACTGATATGCTAATGAGCCTATATAAAAGAACAAACTTCTATTTGTCCATACTCAATGCATACACTAAATTACATTAAAGCCGTTTTATTTCAAGTCTTATTGTGAGTGCACTAAAGGGGGAAGTGCAACAAAAGATGACGTCACTCTGCCAGCAAATTCAATACATTTCCAACAATAACAACTGCCACTTGGGCTGGGCAAAAGGAATGTTTATATACATTTTACATTATTCTCCACTAAATATGTTTAAATTCTCACACATAATTAGATCATGTTCATCCTTGCAATGTAAATATCTAGTAAATCTATCCCAGACCGCAGCATACAAGCTGGATAGCCCACAAGTGATTACAATTCAGCATCATGCAGGGTGAAAGCGCTAAATAATTCAGATACGGAATATGCATACTACCATGAAGTAGTCCAGCTAACAGTTATCGACATGTCATAAACATGTCACACAAGGAAAGGACTTTTTTCCCCCCGAGATCCAATAATTTATTTAATCAGTCTGTGGGATTAAATTACCAAAATGAGCTATTATTCCAACATGTGCAACATGAAGCGAGAGCACAAATTACATACTATATTTTTTTTTTAAACATGGCAGCTCCATTAATAGTAGGGCTAATAGAAGTAAATGTATTCAAGAAAAAAAATCTAATTATGCATCGACGCAGCTGTCGCTATAACTCTATTCTCTTCTTTTACAATAATGGAGTTATGCCTCAACAACAAAACCCCTCATAATAAACAAAGACAGCCTGGAATAAAAAGTATGAAAATAAAGACAAAGAGAGCAATCATATATGATAGCATACTTCAAAAAAAAACAGACTGCATTCACTGTCTACTAAATCTATCAGCAGAGTAAACATAACAAGACAACAATATTCTATTTCAGATGTTTGCAGCATCATATTTGAACCTAATTTCACAACATATAGGCAAAAGCATTCCCAGGGAAACAGAAATTATCTGGCAGTTTTCCAACTTGAAATATATCTGGCAGCCGCAAATCAACGTATTATTATTCTGTGATGGGGGTCCAGGTCAGCTCAGCAGCGTGTGTGTGTGTGTGTGTGTGTGTGGATAAAATCTGCAGTTATTGACTTTGAGTTTGTTTGTATTCTGAAGTATTAATGAAGAGAATCGTGCAGTTTACTACTAGTGACGAGACAGAGAGAGATGGTACTGTTTTTGCAATGGGTACCCATGTTGGAGTGGCTGTTTTCTCTTGTCAAAATCACAAATTATTAATATTTATGACCTTACTTGAAAGCACACATTTATGCTAATAATCCACTCATTTTGTTCAACAGCAGCACAAAGTGTGTAAATCACAAACAAATTTACACACACACACATGGACACTCTTTTTGTCTGTAGAGGACAACCCATAATAAACCCTTTCACCCCTGTGTCGCAATACTGATGACTATGATACAAAAGAGCTGCATGTGAGAAGTGAGACAATACATATAATTTGGACGAGTTGTGGCCATTGGCAAATTGTTATTTGTACAGAAAGACTGGCAAAACAATTGAATTGTATTGATAATCACAAATGTACCAAATGTATATGGCAAAGTAACCTTGGAGTGATTCTATTTACACCATTGAGGCCAAATAAAAGGTATATACATGTATAGTTCACAATCAGTCGTCTTTCTAAAAGGTTTTTACTGTTGCTATGCATGTAATCATTTTGAACTTTATATAAACATACTTTTCAAGTTGATACCAAACAAGCCAAAGCTATGTGAGCTTATGTAAGAAAAAATAGTTCACACCACATACATTATAGCACCAACTACAGTTGTCCTGTTAACTCCACACATACCATAAGAGAATTACTATACTCCTAAGTTTGGCATTTGACCACATAATTAACATGGAACAGGCAATTGTCAACAATGTTTACACTAGTATCACAATCAATTAATTACTCATTGTAATATTAGTTCACTAAATTTGTTAAAAGATTAGGCTTATAGTAAGATGTCCTCTTTTTTAGGACAAGCTTGGTAACAGCCACTAGTTTTCCATGTACAATAAACTAATTTTAATGTTTGTGAATGTAATATTTGCAATGACCCATCAAAATGCACATGTGTACCTAATAATAATATAAAGCCCCAGGTACAAACACAAAATGGACATAGATTAGAAAGGGGGGAGAGGTCATGGTTCACAGTGTTACTGATACTACAAGATAGTGTTTCCCATGAGGACAGTACAGTGTCACTTCCATCTGCAAAGGGCTGCTAATGTACTATCTGCACACATACAAACTTCACCATCACTAAGGCAGAAATTTCCAGACATTGAGAAACATGCAATTAACACTTGCATTAATATGCAAATGATATTAATTGACCAGCTACACATAAAATTAATCAATAGTGAATTCCCACTCAGAGACAGCACCATGGGCTGCCATTATTCTGTGCATTGAATAACAAACGCTAGCTATGCACAATGGAGCTAGCATTTTAATCTATATAGTCAAACAAAACGCTTTACATAGAGGCTGATCACATGACCCAACATCACCATTATGTGGGCCTCAAAAGGGAACATTCTGTGAACTCTATAGATCTCAATCACGTGACTAGCACAACAATGTATAAACACTCAGCCGCCATTTGTAACCTAAATCAGACACGTATACAAACACACAGACTAAATAGAAAGACACACTGGCATAGTCATTAAAACGATCAACAGCAGGGAAACTACAAACTGGAAGGGAATATCAACAACTCATCAACCATTTTTTTATTATGAAGAAACTCAGCAGCTGAGGAACACAATATGAAGCCGTATGTATTTCTACTAACCAGCTTACTACAAGTTCACAGCAATAATAGATATGCAATATACATATGCAAATTGTGAATCCAGTGTAACAATACACTAAAGTATTCTAAAAACGGTGATCCCTATCTGATCCAAATGGCACAGAGGAATAAAAAACACCCCAAAATTTAGATCCTACCCTTAAAGCAAAACTCAATATGGGCAAAGTTGGATTTACAAACTGAATAAATTAAGATAAGTATTGACGAATTGAATACAATTTCAACAACATTGCTTACCAGGCAGAGTCTTCCCCAAACTACTGGCAAATTGACCATTTTGAATACGGTTGGCCAAAATAAAAACTACTTTGGCTAAAAATATGTTATGGTACTACTTCAGTATTTTAAGTAGAATAGATCTATATGACTAATAAATCCAAAAATGTTGGGCCAAAGCTATTTTTAGCCGACAATACCAGACTAGGCATATAATTCATGAATATTAGAAATCACATGGTGAAAGAAAATTAAAGAGGAAAATGTTCTTTTCCTTCAAAACACAGGCATTGTTGTTTGGCATATTGATCACAGCTTTGTGGAAAGTGACTAATGTTGTCACATGAACAAATAAAAAAAACACTACTTATGCGAGTCATGGTAACGCTCATTCATAAACTAAAAGAAAGATGAAATTCTATCTGCAACGCTTTCCATTCTTTTAGGTTCTTATCAACTATTGACCGAGCAGTGGCAACCAACTGAAAGGCATGCAGCTTATTTCATCAGCAATCTGCTTTCATATGCTAATTTATTACTCCCACACAAATACAAAGACTCCCCCCCTCCCCATTCAGAAACACTGGCCAGTAAAACGAGTATATAGCCCAATAAACATAGAACGACCCGCCTCATTATAAATGCACCTTGCGTTCAATTTTACTACTATGTCCTAGCAAGGAGCTAGTTCCACGACACAAAAAAAAAAACGAACATGTCCGAAAAGTAGTCCAACCTACAGGAACATCCACTTGGGAAAATTGGAACTTATACCTGCCATTATTATTCTAAGACAAATATATATCAACATGATCCAAACAGACCGATTTGAAATGGTTTTATGGCCACCAGTCTTTCAGAACATCTTTCATTATTTAAATGTTTAGAATATACCATTCTAGGGGTTTGTGTTCTCTAGGGCTTGATACTTTTTAACAATTGGTACTGTTCTGCATAGAACAAAGCACAGGCTAATTGATCATTATGTTCTTATGAAATGGCATGGCAACAATATATATTTCATCAGAATATACTGCCCATTTTCACACTACAACGTTACTAGGAGAGTCAGGCTGCCACAAATACTGGTCTCAACATCAACAACAACTCAAGACCACATGCCGTAATATACTGGGATGTGTAATGTTTTGAGAACTGTCATCTTGTTTATATTATTATGTTTCAGGACCAAGTGAAGGAAAATTGGACATGAACTCTATAATGTACTAAAATAAATCACTAATATAAACCACAACTACAACCTCTATTTTTCACGCAAGCATAATGCATCATACATAAGTAACAAAGATGGGCTAGAATTCTAGAATTAGTATTTTACTTGGAAAGGGAGTGGGGTGGGGTGTGAATGACCCTGAACAACACACATTAAACCATGGAAATGATCATGACCAAGTCATTCATTACACATTCTGATTACATTTACTACTATTACTAAAATACCAGCCACATGTTGTGCTCCATTATTTATAGTCTGATATGGCAAAACGAACATGTTGAAATGTAAGATTAGACAGCTATAGAAAGCACAGGCAGTTTTGTTATTAATCAAAAGAATTCAATTTTAACAGATTGGTTTTTGGATTTGTAATATAAACTGAATAAATAAATGTATTGGTCATTGACTCAACTCAATAATGCTAATACTTATGCTACAAATGCTATAATTCACATCTGTCACAGAAAACACCACTAGACTTGCTTGATTATGACTGTTTAAGTCAGACCATGTGTGTTGAAAAAGACGTTTGCACTTTGGACACTAACACAAAGATCAAGATAGAAATGAATGAGGCTTATTTTAGAAGGGGAAAATACAAGATTGTCAAAATTTAACTCGGTCATAATGGTCGGGATGTTGATATGCAACTATAGCGGGGATATGGTGGGTAACGAGACGGTGAAGATTCAAGAAAACTTTCAACATTAATAAGCATTGCTGAGTACTTCAATGCAGAAAAATAAGCATTAAAGTTGAACGTTATGGTTGTCGAGAGCCATGTCACACAAACGACTTGCTATTCCATTGTATATAGCATGGTAAATTATCAGTGGGCAGGGCTCCAAAACAGTGTTTTGGCGTTCACATGCTGTCAGTCCAGAGCTACCGGACCATTCTCACGCCGGTCAACCGACCATCGACGACAGAGGTAGCGAATATGAGTGAATATTCGTAATATAGACGGAGGGTTTCTGTAATGGTGAAACATAACAAAGCAGTACGTACACGCAGATGTACGCAAGGAAGATGCAAAATAACGTAACGGGAACGTTCTACAGGGAGTGTCATCATGACTAAACTCGCCTGTAAAACCGGAAAAGCTATAGTAATCAGGAGCACTCAAATTATGGTGACACGTTATATTTGTGCATATTCTACATGTAGGCCGAGTGCAGTAGAAGTAACACGAAATGTCAACGTATCACCTAAACTTGAGAAAGCTCGTGCACGGACCTATTACCCGTCTGTGGTGTACAATCATCACACCCAATGTTTCAACGACGATGCGAACGATTTGTGACAGTAAAGTGGACAGAAAATAAATGCAAACTGTTATAAAAAATTACACTTTCACTAGTGAACATCACCCTAAGATGGTCCAGTGAATAAACTGCATGACCGTGCCGAGATGAAACCTTACCTGCCCAAAAATATTCCCTAAGCTATCCACGAGCACGAAAAAGTAAACGATCGACCGACCGATCGCCAAGTCGGTGCAATAACAACAGAGATAAACTTCTTAGTTTCTGTGGGAACTCAACGATACGAATACAATTCAATAATCCGTGCGATGGGTGGTTCTTGGAGTATCAAATCCCACTAAAATTGTGGCGGTACAGTGACGATACGAGGTATTTATCTCCCTACATTCGGATGACCAGGAAAGCCATAGCTTCGCGTGGTTCAACTTTACACTGCTGTTTTCAGTAATGGCGGCCATAGAATTTGAAACACACGGGGTTCCAAAGGCTATTTTTGATGGGCTCTGAACTCAATGGGCATGCGCACTTTGATGACGTAATTTGTTTGAGGGCTGTGGCTAGCGGAAGGTTGTGGAAAACGTGAATTGATGTTGGATTTAAAACGCGGATAATATCTACGTTTCTTACTCTTTCTTGGTGGAAAAATATTTCCTGTGTCTTATTTCATCACACTATGTGTATATTTTGCTAGATGAATGTTATGCTGTGGGTTTTTTTCTAGATAACTCCACTTCGATCTTTTTGAAGATCAAAATGGCGTCGATTTTGCGTTCGTGAACAAGATGGACTTCTTGTTCACTGTGATGTGGGCAATTGTACAATTGGCTGATTTTTAAAGTAGATTGTGTCAGCGTCAGTGCTGTTAATGTAACTCTCACATTTGTTTTATTGTGTATCGAAAATGCATTTTTATTAGTGTTTACTGTGTTATTATGGCCGATTAATTAAGAAATGGGTGCTTGAAAATGTTAGTTCGGGCGAGTGAAACGACCAACGACATGAAGTGTCCGCCATTACGAGTCGTAAGGACGCCATTTGTTATTCGAACGACTCGTTTGACACATCATTATCATACGTAAACTAGTTTCGCATTGATAGGTTCATTTTCACGGATCTATCGGCGTTCATATTTACTCAGTTTAAATTTTGTGTGTTATTTTTTTCTCATTAAAATAGTCGGCGTGGATTTATTTTGTATCTTTTGTTTAACCGCGCAATTGCTCGTGTCCGTTTTCTGTCAACGATTTCACGTTTTTTTTTCTAGAATTGAGGAAATAGATATGGAAACACTTTCAACCAAATCTGAATTATCATGATCATAATTAATGGACCAATAGCAAGTTTGTTCGTTTTATCAATTAATTTTGTAATATTCAGAAGTGTTTATTTTTGTAAAGTCGCGTCCATTTGTCTCACTGTTTACTTTTCCTTATTTTACGCTGTAACCCAGAAAACAAACAAGTGACAGGAAACTGTTTTCATTATTTAGGTCAAATTTCCGGTACAAAAATGTGATTACAGACACGTCCAAGACTTCATTTTGCGAGAAAGTTTGCCACGCCCAGTGATGACGTGCTGAACAAAGGGAAAACCCCATGCTTTGTTTTATTTTACAACAACGACCGTTCAGTGGTAGAGCTGGTGGCTAAAACATTTCAGAAAGCAGGGAAATGATAGTAATTATTCAAGTGTAAAGCTTTGTTAGATTGTAGACGGCGTTTCATCCCAGTGAATTTTCGTTTCCAGAAAATGTCTGTCATATCCACAAACCCCGGGGTCACTTAGCTGGTCAAAAGGTAGACATGTGCGTAAACCAAGAAAGGGTACTTTTTTTAACACTAGAGGAGTGTTTTGGCAGTGGAAGCCCCCGTTTTGGAAGTTCCACCCGAGTCGGATAAAATGCTCAAGTGCGCGCGAACAGAATGAGAAGGCAGCGTTTCTTTGAAATTACTTATGTTTTCTGTGAAGTAATGGTGATTTTTTTTCCGTCCGTATTTTATTCAAAAATGGAGTAAATTTTATTTCAAAATCAATGGAAAGGGGTTGTTTTTAACACCTATACAGCCAAATGCCCGAACCACAAACAGTGTTCGTAGAAATATACAATTATCCACACTTGTTAATTTGCAAAGGGGAAAATAATAATTTGGTACGACTACGCAGATGCCAGTGGAAGGGGATTGTTTTTGATTTGCAGAATATATATACCAGCCAAGTGCCCGGGCCACAAACCGCGTTCGTAGAAATATATAATTATCCACATATATAATTATTATTTGTAAGCGGGAAAATAATACGATACTACGTCACTGAGGCCACCTTGTTTGTTTTCAACAAAATCCACCTCATGTGTCACTGATTGATTTTTGTTTTACTTCAGCCTGTGATGATTTGTAATGGAATACATATTTCGAGTATTCATGTATGTACATGGTGTAAAGGGAATGTGTTACAATAAACTATTTAATTTATTTGGCCAACGTGATAAATAACATCTGCAGGATTAAAATTAGTGTCGTGGAGCATTAAGTGGCAGTAACTGAAACGTTTACTCATAAATTACGACGAACGTAAATGTTAACGTTGGTGACCTTACATGTCATGTGACAGTGCTGAACCCGGGTGCTGGCGTCCTGTCGTCAATATCACTGGTATGGGCTCCGAGAAAGTGTATTGAGGAAAAAAATGAATAAGAGCCCTGGCACGCATTGAGCCCTAATAAGCAAGGCCGTGGCGGTTCTGTTGTTTTATTTTGGCAGATTTACGTTCGCCCATCTGTCGTCGAGGTGCGTTGAACCATGGAGCTAAAATCAGCTCCATGGTTGAACTGGCATCACTACCGACACACGGTGCATGTACACAGGCTTTAGGGGATCCTGTAACTTGTTTGGATCATAGTATGAACGCGTTGAAACTAGGGAAACGGCAGTTGAAATGCACTATCCATTAAAAATGAATTACGAATGTAAACAATTTCAAAAATATAAATGACAGAAATGCATTCTATCGTAGCATTGGAATAGACAATGCATGCGTTATTTTCTCTGGTGTCTTAGACTTGGAGAATTTAGAACAAACATTGTTCTATTATGGTATACATGTATGTGGTTCTGTAAAATAACACGTCGATACATATTGATTGATAGATTGATTGATATACATTTGTGTGTGGCTACAAGTTATTGAATGGAAACTATGCCCAGTTATTTTTGGCAACATATCTCGATTCGGCTGTTTCGATCAGCCGCAGGGTTTCACAAGGCTTACACTACGGATAGTAGTGTCTCCCGTACATTCATATACTAGTATGCGTGTGCGTGTCCCGTTTTTTGTGTTTAATGGGGAAAAAACTACCCCACCACGCACAAGCACATTTTCACACAGATATTTGCAAAAATTAAGCCCCAAAACCTTATTTTTTTAGTTTTTCGAAATTTTGTATGTGTCTACGGATTTTTTCCTGAAAAAGTGCACCCACATCTAGAAAATGTTCGGGCAAAAAGTAGGCCATTTGCGAACGAAAATGACGTAGAATTTATATGAGAGTGCCGGATTTGGTAGCGCCCCTTTGCCTGGAACACCGTCGGGACTACTATGGATATCGCTTTGTGTGAACCAAGTATAAGCGGATGCCAGTACTGTAACGTACTGACTAGTGCTGGTAGTACTTGAGTCGTATGATAGTCTCACCACAAGAAATTGGGTATAGGGTGTAAGTTTACATTTCTATCACAAATACCCCCAATTGTATCGATGAATGGGTCTCAGAATAGACCACGCGTTGGTGACATTTCGAAAGGTCATAGAGAGTCCAACGAACCCATATAATGTGAATCATTGACCTCATCCCGTGACTATTAAACTGACTGTTTCACCGTGGTAATTTGAAATAAATATTTGAAGTGGGATGTGTGTTACACAAAGAATGCACAATTGTATACTGTTCCTCCGCATACAACAACATTTTAATTTTAATCAGTACAGTTCCCTGAAAGTCTTGCCGATACTTTGGGTATATATTGCTTATTGGTCTATGATATCATACGTAAAAAAACAACAACTGGGATCCCGGACCAAATATGTTTTCAGATAAACGCCCTAATACTACAGTGATATCACTTTACATGGATTACAAAGTTACTAGTAATAAATGTGGCTCTATTGGAGGGGGGGGTTAATATCTTGAAAATTTCTTCCCGTTTAACTGAAAATCCAGATAATAAAACGATGTGGCGGGAACTATATAAAAACACACACACATGGATTTTTTTTGTAAAGAGATAACGGCAGTTTCAGTTGGATTTGTGATGATGAGCCAACTTGTACAAGTTGGCAGAACTTGGCTCATCAAATCAGATAATTGAGCAAATCGTCACTAATACCCATCCCTTGAATGTACCCAGAAACGGACTCGCAATCAACATGAAAGTGAATGAATTTTACTACAGATGACGTTTCATAGGTTGATCCACAGTGAGGCCACTCGTATACATTGTTGGTTCTCGGCTCGTGTATTCGGTTCACGGTGGTAGCGTCTCTTTTTATACATCGAGAGGGTGGTTGTTTCACATGTACCAGGTTCATGATGGTAGCCTAATGCATTCACAGATAGAGCAGTTTCTCATATCGTCTTGGACAGGTAGTATAAAACGCTAACAAATACAAACCATTTACCATTTATCTGGATACACTGAGGATTGCTTCTCAAAGGCGGCGTCACGAAATTTTGCACGGAGGGGCGAGATCTGCTCATCAACCTCGCGCCAAGGCGCGACCTTACTAGGGAGGTCCGGGCATTCTCTCCTTAACAATTTTGAAATCTAGACCCCCTGCATTTTGAGGGGCAAATTTTGCTGACACAAGGGGTTTCAGCTTGATTTTGTAGATGCCACGCCCCCAACATTTTTTTCGAGAGGGCCCCCTGTGCCACCGCCACTGTTTCTCATTCACTCAGGTATAGGAAGTTTCTTGTTTCTTGAGGTGTGTGTGTTTTATTTACCTAGGTACACTGGGGATTGTTTCCCATTTGCCTATAAGTACAGGAGAATGTTGCTTCCCATTTATCTGGGCTCAGTGGTGATTTGTTGTCATTGTCGGGGATTGTTTCTCATTCAGTTCACCTGGGTACACTGGTGGATTATTTCTTATTTATCTGGGTACACTCGGGGTTTGTTTCTCATTTACCCGAGGCACACTGGAGGATTTTTCCCATTTATTTGGACACACTG